GCAAGAATCGCCCTTTTCTCGTAGTTTTGCTTATAGAACTTTTGTGTATCGAGTTCAAACATAGCAAAATTAGATATTTTCCGCCGACTCTATTCAAGCTCTAAATACCCATATAGTTTTTAGCCAATAAAAATGCAATTTCAGCATAGTTCCCATACAAACGTGCCCTTTTTTTGCACTTTATGGAATAGAACTCATCGGTTTGATGTTGAATCATGGGGAAACTATATATATTCTGCCGGCTCTATTAGAAAGCTACAGAATGGTATAAAAATATTTTTAAAAAAATCCAATTTGAAATTTTTTTTCATACAAGTGCCGAAAAAAGGGGGATTTCGTGGTAAAACGAATAGAACTCGAAGCCCATTTGAGTTCTATTTAAACGAAGCTCGGTTGAAGTGTCGATACATATTCTTTGAGTGCTCTGGAGAATGCCAACTGTTCATCGAATGCATTGGTCAACAACAATTGTGCACAGCTTGGATTTTTCTTTCGCAAATCATTTATATTCACAATTAACCGCTTTGATTTCTCCGCAATCATATCTTTCACCAAAGCCATGTATGTACCTTGATCCTCCTCATCATCCAAAAAATCCAAATATTCGCGTTGAATATCACGTAATCTTTGTTCTTCATCGGCCATTGTAATTCAAAAATGTTTTTGAATGTGTAAAATGTGTATATTTTGTTGAGTGAATTTTAAAAAGAATTCAATTCGAACGCAATTCAAATGAACGCTTGTTGCATATGACATTTGTATACAAAAATAGTGGGAAAGTTAAACCGTACTTTTTTAGTTTTGGTTTCGCTGATGGGTATAACAACAAAAATGTATAGTTGTTCAACAAATGAATTTTTGATTTTGTTGCATTTCAACAAAAATCTGGAGGTTGGTCTGTTTCAAGTGCTTTAACTTTTGAGTCAGTGAACGGAATTCCTAAAAAGGATGGTACTATATGAAAACAAAGAGATTTGATCGTTAGTGGCTCCCTCTGTCGTTAGGTAGCTTACTTATCAAACACCCTAGTATAACCTAAAAGTCCATACTTTCATTGTATTTCAAAATTATTAAAATTAATGCGTGGAGATGTTTTGAATCTTTAATTTAGAAAATGTCTCTCATAAAATTACTGATATCAAATGAAAAACCTCTGTCGAGGTGAAGAACGAGTGACGAAAACAAAATTCGAAACACAAAATTTCTGATATCAATTGTGACGAAAATAGTTGGTAAATATAGTAATTTTCCTGTTTACTGTCAATAATACTGAATTTTGATACATAAAACAGAAAAAAAATAATATGGACACACATATTTTGAGAAAAAATCTTGTCTAAATTCAACATTTCGTAAACTGAACCGATTTTATCATTCCGTAAATTTAACAAGCGGTCGATTTGTATGGTATTTAAGTATGTTTTGGCACAATAAAAAGATCAATATCTCGGCTCCCCTTGATTTAATTTACCATTAAATAAAGTACACCTTTTTGGACCCACTAAAATTTTGACTAAGAATTTGAAAAAAATATATTTTAAAAGGCTCATTCATTTAGTTTAGTCCGGTGATATATATTCAAAGTTAAAGAAGATTTCCAGAACTCACTGTATATATAGGCTTGAGGCAAAATTTACAATTTTTCTCAAAGTTGGTCTGGAGCCAGAGCTGCGCACGAACAGTCGAACCGACCGTTCATAAGTGAAAATAATACTTTTTTGTGGTCGGTCGATCGTTCATAAAAATTCAAATGTTCACTGCGTTAGTTCGTTTGTGTGATCGAACACCGAACACGTCAGAAAATGTTCCTCACACACTACTGCACTGTGAACGAAAATCTACATGAGGAGAAGGATAAAATCAAATATAATTTGCAATGCCAAAGCGATAATGGTGAATTCAATATTTTAAATATTTATTGAAAAAAAAAAAAAACAAAACAAATCTGAATATATAATTTTGAAGTTTTATGCCAATTTTTATGGTTAGTAATAGCTAGTAAAAATTAATTCGGTTGACTTGATCGCTTTTTATTCATTCGAAACATTCGAAACACGCCACTTTTCTTTTCTTTACTTCCTGTACTGATAGTGGAGTGTGCTTCACTTTCACTTGAGCTTTCAGCTGAAATTCTTGAAGAAGATATATCATGTTGAAGAGATAGTGGGCGAGAATTTGCATCGAATCTAGTTACACCCCAACCTGCGAATTAAAAAAATTAATAATAAAAAATTACTACTGAAAATATGATTTTAAAATAGAAAAAAAAACAGATAATGAATTATTTTGAAATAATAGCCGACACCATAAATTCATGCAAATATTGAACGAATCTCAAAAGACAAAATAATCATATCTAACCGGCCGATGCAGCTCGTTCATTATCCAAAAAGTTGTTATTAGTTAACATCTGATTGGATAAATTATTGTTTAAACCGACGCTGTGAGTTTGCGAATGCCATGTTGTTGATCTCATTTTCCCTCCTGAATTATTATTGTTTATGTTGGAACCACTAGCATATGATAGGGTACATCCCACTGGAGGTAATGTTGCTGGTAAAGGTGGTGCTTCTAAAATGTTTTTTTTTTTTATAAAAGTGTCTCGAAACATTTTCACATACTACACAGAAAATTTAACTTGAAACATTCTTTGACAAGTTTCATCACTTTTGGAAATCAAACAAGGACAAGGCTATTAATATGAATATAACTATGACCTACCCATTTTAATTTGTTGTGTATTCCAATGATCTACTGAATCTAGAATAAATAAAAAAATGTTGGATTTGTTATTCAAGTAGTGGTGTTAAATAAGGAAACACGCGTGTTTTTCAGTTAAATATAAGGAACTTAATTATTTAAAATAAATTACCTTGAATATTAATTCCATAATTATTGTTTCCTTCCCCTATAAAATTAAGAAAGAAAATATTTTTATCCCAAAATGATATACGAAAGCATACAAGGTAATAAATAATTTTAAAATTAGAGCATACGATTACGAAGTTGAACAGTCTCACTTGTAGATATTTGTCGTTGAGGAACTGGTGGTGGAAGCCCCCTTGGTGGTATAGGTGGTTTATCGGCACTATATACTGTAGTAATTTGTGGACTACTCATCGGGGGAGCGTTTAATGAAATTTGTTGTTCACGAACTTCACGAACACGTGGGGTACTACCACTTGATGTCCCACTTCCTATTGAATCTTGGCGTGAACTGCGTCTATTTTGTGAATCTGGCGAACTCGTTCTAGAGCTAATTGGCGATACTTCGACTACCGGACTATCGTGTTTGGCTGGTGTTTGCTATAGCAAATAAAAACATAATGTCATTGAATGACCCCTTTCAGCGGCCAAACGGCAAAAAATAGAAACTATGTTGAGTGTACAAAATTGTCCTCAATGAAAGACATTTTCAAAGATAAATATTGCCGCCAGTAGAGTACACTTTAACTTTGTGCTTTATGTATGAAATCAATGATATTCAAGACCGGTGCTTGATATGCATTAATAGGTTAATATCATATTATGTAACATATTCAAATTTTTCCGAAAAATATATTTCCGTATATATATTTCCGTATATTGAAATATATTTCCGTATTTTTGAAATTCTAATGCCACACTGTACACCAAAAGGAATGGTAGCATATGCATCACGTGAATATGCACGATTGCAAGTCGTCAATCGCCATGCAAGTTACCAACAACAAGTCATCAATGGTTTTCTTTGGTGAATCGGAGATGCCAGCCAATCGGCCATTTAGTCTGAAGAGACGAAAAAGATGTCGCACGAAATTTTTTGGAAATCCGAAACTTGGACATTGGTTAAAATGGAAAATGAATGAGGAACATCACAAACATGAATGGTTAAGAATAATAATGAAACTTAATTTTTGTTCAAACTGGAGTGTCCCGCAGAATTATTTCAAATGAAAGTGTCCCGAATATTTGTTTCAAACTAAAATGTCCCTACAAAAAAGATTCATGTAAATTTTCCTAAGTGCCATTTTCATTTGCAATAAATTTGAGGGACACTTCGATTGTAAACTTTTTTTTGAGTCCTATTCATAGGAATTTG